TGTCAGACGGCGTAGGAAAAGAGTTATTTCTTCGTCTTAGACTGTCGCTTCTTCTTTTTCTCCACCGGTCGATACGGGCCCAACTTCCTACGTACCATAACACCTCGCCACCAAGCCTCAATCTTGATCGCGCTTTTTTCCATACGCTCCTGCACCTCTTTCGCCATTCTGACCGTCTCCTTCTCCTTCAGATACGCGTCTATGAACTCTTGATTACGGTGATACTGCAACGTTGTTACGGTGCCGCTTAAACGCCGCGCCGGGGGGGAAACGACAATCGATTCAGTGATTAGGCCGCGGTGGGAAAAGTGGGTGGTGGTTGGGTGCGGGTGTTGCAGAAAGAGGAGAGAGAGAGAGAGAGGAAAAAGAAAGGAGAAAAAGAGGAGAACGTAAGAAAGTCTCGAGCGAGAGCTCGTTTTTATCGCGTAGCTATGTTCAGCGCTAATTAACTTCCGTAGCACACACCGGGGTTACGGGGGAAAAAAACAGCGCACGGGTGGACGGGCCAAAAAATGTATTTTTTAATACTTGCAAATGGTTTTTTAAAGGGTAGGCAACCGTTAAACCGTCGGAGGTTTCCTCCTCCACACTCGCGCCCCCTCGCCCCGGTTCTCGCGCTTATGAAATTTCATGTGATTTAGAAATAGCCACAAACAGGTTCTTGACACGAGTTATCGATCTCTCGAGCAGAATTTCCGCATTGCACGTAGAGATTCTAAGCTTACAGGAGCAAGCCATCGAGCCTGATTTCCAATAGGATTAACGTGGCCGTGATGCAGTAAATCACCAGGTCACACGGAATATTTAATAAACCGTGGCGTTGCATTTACACCACGGTGTTCTTACATCTTCCCTCGATACGTTCCTCCTCTCATTCTCCGTGTCTCGAATCAATTTCGATACAAAAATAAAAACAGAACAGAAGAAGAGCGAAAGAGAAGACGACAAGATTTATACCGTTCGATCGTTTCTTCGTTGAACGAATTAAAAGAGGAAGAGGAGAAGGAACCGTAAGGGACGATTAGAAGAAGAAATCGATAATTTCGATCGAACGATTTGACTAATCTAATATTCGTCGAAGGGAGAAGAAAGGCTGGGCACGAGACTGGAGGAAAGTAAAATTCTACTGTTCGCCAATGGAAGACGAAGGTACCTCTTCTTTAAGATCATCCAACTCCTTTCGACGTGCCTCTATCTCAATACGCAGCTGCCGGATCTCCTTCTCGTACACCTCTTTCTCACGAGCGTATCGTTCCTCCCATTCTTTCCTTGTCCCTTCAAGTGTCTGTCGAACGAAGAATTTCCAATTGTACCAAATGTTATTCCTTCCACGTAGGAAAATGTTTGGGGGGAAGAAAACGAAGAAACGTAGAAAAATCCGTGGAAGATTATAAATTACAATAAATAAACTCACCGTTGTTTCTTGGATCAGGAAGTTGGCGAGCGCGTCGTGCACGCGCTCCTCGTTTCTCTCACGCACACGGCAGTCGTTTAATATCTTCTCGAATTTTTTTATCTCCATGTCGCAGCGCAGCGAGATCTGCTCGTACCTCGCTCTCTCCCACTCGCCAACGTACTTCACCTCGGCGTCCGCGATTAATTTCAGTTTTTCTACGCTACGCTGTTGTTTCGAACAACGAAATGAAAAATTTCAACGCGTGCACCCGCCACAAAGACCAACTAACTTCCGTTCGAAACATCCAGCCGATATCTACCTGTTCCTCCGCGAGTTCCATCAACAGTCTCCTCCTCTCCTTCTCATTCGCCAGGCTCTCCTCCTCGATTATCCTCTGCAATTCTGCCGCGGCTTCTCCGAGTCTCTTCTGTTCAGTTAACAGTGCCTCCTCTTCTTTCTCGCCAGCAAGGATCGTCTCTATCTCTCTCGTTACTACTTCAAAAGTTCCTCGATCGCGAATCTCCTCTTTCAGCTCCTCCATGATCCTTCTTATATACAAGCTGCGTGAAAATCGTTCAACTGTTATTATTTCTTCGACGAAATATCAATTTTTAGAGATTTCTTTATTATACGAATCGCGAATTATTCTCATAATTAACGACAACTTCGAACCTGTTCTCGTAAACTTTCACAGAGGCGGCTCGTTCTTTCGCATCCTCGATCTCTCTCGAACTGGACGCGTCCAAGCAGCTGGAAACCACGTAACGTGAAATGTTCGATTCGCCCTAGGCGGGAATCCCGTATTCTTTTTCTTTTTTTCTTCGGGAGCAGCTATTATTGAAAATTTCGTTGGACGTGTCCGTTGTGAAAACGTACCTCGTATCGTCCACGGGTATATCGTTATCGTGTTTCGTCGGCTTTTTCAACGTGTTGTGGTAAATGGCCAGCGCGTCCGTGAACTCCTCGAGCATCGCTAAAATTGCCGCCCGTTCCGGCGAACTGAACGCTGCGGGAGAATCGTCCGCCGCGAGCGTAGCCATTGAGTCTTTTTTCTTCCTTCTTTCAACCCTTTTCGTAGATTCGCTCACGCCACTCGTCCACCTTCTTTTTTCCTACCTTTGCACGCTGAATTCGAATCGTTCCCTGCTGATATTCACACGTTTAACCAAAAAAAAAAAAAAAAAGGTGCGTTAAGTTCGGTAATTTTTACACCTGAAACAGGTTCATTTCCAAACGAAGAACATTGCCTGGGAATTTCAAGCGAGGTTTTCAGCAATTTGAAAATTCACAGATGGTGCAAAGTGTATAAATTGGTTTAACGTCGTTTAGGTAGAATTGACAAGAAGATTCTTCTCTTTATCTCCACGTCTCCGTTCTACGGTTCATTTTCGTCTGTCAACAGAGTTGGCCGGTTCATCGGGGAACGATTGTTACACGGTCCTCCCTTTGACGATCGTCCGGAATGCTTTTACAGCGTCTTAAAACAGCTAAAATTTCATTTAAATGCAAATCGGCAAGATGTCGCGTCGCGGGGTCTGTTTATTTTCCGGGTTCAATTGTAAGATAGAAATCGTAATTGTCGTATCGTTTCTTCCTTCCCCCTTTTCTTTTACTACTCCGCAGCGAGGGGGGAGTGGAGAGAAGGAACACGTTGCGGTTACTTACTTTCTCGGCTTTCACCTAAATTAAAGTTGCGAAAGTTGCGAATCTTCTCGTCGTCGTTTGGTCGGCGGTGGTAGAAGAAGAGGAGAGCACGATTCCGGTTAAACAGAATTCATGGTCAGAGGTGAACGCGTGGAGCGCATGGCTGCAAAACTAATCATGATACCACGCGCTTTTGGCGGAACTAAATGCTGCTGCTGCTCGATAAAGGTGGGCTCGACGTTGCTTTAATACACGTGATACGGTTTGATCCATTGGGCGCACGTTGCCCGTAGAAACGAGCGTCGGGACGCCTTGCGGCTCGACTGTATTTATACCGTTTCCCTGTAACGTCGGCATTTCGCCGCACTTGCAAATTTTTCCTCTTTTTTTTTTCTTCTTTTTCCCAAACCTAACCTCGAAACTGCCGTCGATATCTTTATTCGTGCATCGATCTGATCTTACGGAATTTTTCTCGCGGTCAAATCGAATCAAATACTTTTTTACCAGTGAAGAATCAGGCGATTGAATTATCTTTGGATAACTCAAATTTTCAGAGTGTAGAATCTTTGGTGACTTTCGAGCGATCTTAGATAACTTTTGCGTGAGTTTCGAATGACCCTGAATGACTTAAATTTGAAGAAAGTTAAACGGCGCGATTAAATTACATTTGGTGACTCTCAAATGACCTTGGACAACTTTTGCATAATTTTCAAATTACCTTGGATGATTCAAATTTAGAAAATTCCCCGATCGAATTACTTTGGCTAACTTTCATGTGACTTTGGATGACTTTTGCATGATTTTCAAAGGACCCTGAATGACTTCAATTTGAAGAAAGTTAAACGGCGCGATTAAATTACCTTTGGAGACTTTCGAGTGAGTTTGGATACCTTTGCAAGACCTTCAACGGACTTGAATTCTTTAATTTCCAAGAGAGCCTGAGATGTACGCGCGACCTTCGTATTCGGCGACTTTTATCAGTCGCAAACATAGGTGTGCCGTTTCGTTCGCGTGAAAGTTTGAAGCAGGGAATAAGAAGGGAGATTGCGGGCACAGGGTCGAGTCAAAAGCTGTTAAGTAGTCTGCAGGTGTTATAGATACCCTCCCGTGTTAAAGCTCGATCGAAGAATTCATTGGGAAAGGATATCTTGCGGGCACTCGACAACTTTTCTCCTTCGTCCCATTCGCTGATTGTCTCTGGTCTGCCTGGGCAACGTCGTCGTTGGAAAGAAAGGCCCAACGAACACGTTCCGCTCCTGATTGGAAAACTTTTTCCTACCTTCGACTTTAATCGAATCTGCATCGTCGAAGGGTCGACGCTGCTGCACTTTAAGTTTCGAGAAATCTGTGGTCCTAAGTGTTTACGTGTTACATATATTACACGATCGATTGCAAAAGTGTGTACATATATCTATATACGTGAAATGGAAGATGTTCGAGATCGTGTTGCAAACTTCGTCTTGAGAAATAATTGTTCCTCCCGCTCTTTAGAATTTTCTTCTTTTTTTCCCTTTCCTTCCTCCCTTTCTCGCGAGTTCTGTAATTTTTCAAATATCCGCAGTGCGCTAGATATTCTTTTCCGGAGCCTATTTTAACCCCGCGGGACGTTTCGCCAATATGAAAGAATGTAAAATAAATACAACGTCGCCCGGTTTTCTTCTTTGAGTTTCGAAAGTTGGCTTATTCGCTCGGGAGGTATGAAAGATAGAAGGAGCGCAAAGTGCTTTTTGATATTAGTTTGATATTGAACATACGTGTAAATGTACAAGTGGAATGAAACCGATAGACTTTCTTTTCAATGCTTTTTACCTTTTTTTCTTTTCTTAATGTAAACAGCTTAGAGAGTTTATCGCCAGTTTGCAAGAATAATCTCCGTTCGCAAAGGACGCAAAGGTATCTTGTATCAGATAACACGTATACAAGCGGACGCGCACCTCTATTGCGCGCGCTAACTTCAAATTACACCTAATTTGCATTCCCGTGGCCGCAAAACCCGGGAAGACATCGTTTTTTAGTTCCTCGTCAGATTTAATTTACGATAACCTGCTAATCTTCGAACCTAACCTACTTACTCTTTAATCAATGGAAAAGAAAAAGGAAGAAAAGCCTTATAACCTGAAAAAACAAAACAGAACAGGAAAATTGTTCGAATAGAGAAAGTTTGATCGAACAGGATCGAGCGGTTACGAAAGTCCACTTCTTGAAATCGTACGATTCAACTTCAATTAACCGCTCGCTCGAATGATTCGTTGAAGCCTCGAAAACCGTGGTGCCTTAAGCTTGAAGTTTGACAAATGTGGAGGGCAGAGTTTGACAAAGGTGACAGAAACACGTCGGAAACATTGCAGCAGCGGGGATCTAATGCGCTTCCGAAAGTTTCACCGTGCACGAGAATTCCGTGTCTCGTTGCGAAAAGCTTGGAAACAGGTGCGGGGTGAGACGGGTGCGCATGCGTAGAACTGAGGCGGCGTCGCGCGTGCGCAGCGCGGCCGCGAATGTGGCGAGGCGCGAGGGCGGTGTCGGTGGTGGAAGCAGGGAAACGTTTTCTACCCTTTGCCCGTCGTCGTCGTCACCGTCGTCGTCGCCGTGGTCATCGTCGTCGTCGTTGTACGTCTTCGTCGTCGCCCCGTGGTCGTCGTTGTCATCGTACGTTCGTCTATCATTTCGCCGTGTACGCTCGTGACAAACGGTGTAGTGAGTGGTATTTCCGCAGTCGCCGAGTCGATACGCGATTCGGACCGCGTCTCTTAGCCACCTCTTTGTAGCGTTCTTTATAGTCGCGTATGATATCACGAGCTGTCGACCTGTCGAGAGGGATTCTCGATCACGGTGGAATCAAACGTTATAACCTGTCATCGTCGCCATCGTCATCGGCGCCGCCGACGTCGTCGTCGTCAGTCCCGATCAGCTGCTTCGCGGGTGAGTAAAGGACAACTTTCTCTTCATCTCACTCTTTCTCTTCTCTCTTTCTGTTTTCTTTCTGTGTGTGATTATTCATTGGTGTTCGTCGAGGCGCGTTCGTACGATTGCCGTGAATGTACAGTTAACCTAGTTGCGTCGCCTTTGGTACGCCCTCGTGTTTATGCCGCGAAAATGCGATACGTTTGAAACGCCGGGAGAAAGAAAGCTCGATGAGAATGTTTTTTACAACGTGTATACCGTGGTGTGCGTTCGTTTCTTTGGTTCGTTTGTTTCGTGATCATCGTAGAAGTGGCTCGGTCGATACGGATGAGAGATATTATCGATCTATCGGTGTTACACTAGGTGCCTTTACCGATTTAGGAATCCCAAGGGGAATTCCATGCCTATCAAGATTAACCTAGTTACGAATCTTTGAACCGCCCTTCCTGTAAAAGTGAGAGATACATATGCACGCGACTGACACGTTTGATACGTGTGCACGGGTGAAAGAAAAGAAAAAACAGTTTCAAGATACAGAGTTGTCGTTCGCGTTAAGTAGTCTCGTAGTTTACAGTCACTTGTGTGCCGCTTAAATCTACCTAATTTAGCTACCGAGGACAACAGTCCTCCGCGAGTTCTCTCGTGGCGTGCACAGGCATAAAGGGCAAATTACGTAAATATTCGTATTGCGCTTTCCGCTCCCGCTGGCGGTTTCGCGGGTAAATACGGGGCTTAAGCCGTTTCTTGCACGGCTTTACGAATCTCTGGCGTTGGATGTGCCGCGTCCTGAATTCTCTCAGGGTTAACCTAGTTACGGATCTTTGGAACGCCCCTCGTGTTTACACCGCGAAAAGAAGCTGCGTTCGAAAGTTCGCAAGAAATTCAGCGTTATTTCCGTGGTTACGCCGTTGCACACGTCGTAGCCTGGTTTTAACGCTTCTTTCTTTCTCTCTTTTTCTTCTTTTTCTTTCTTTTTTTTTTTTTGTATACTTTCCGATGCGTGACATCGATACTTGAACTTAATTAACGACATTAATTAGGTTGTTGATTTTCGAGTATACTTCAGACGAAAGGAAAGAACGGGGATCGATATTTTTCGAAGGTGACATTTTATGTTCGTTATTTTTATCTCTTTTTTGAAATTGTTAAAAAAATCGTATAAGGTTAATTTCCATTGGAAAATGCGTAAAAATATTTTCTCGTGGGAGAAAAAACTCTGCGAAACAACGTGATAGTAGAATGTGACGGTATTGGTTAGACATTGAGCAATTTATCCTATAGAAAGGACCGTTTACCGGTTGTCTCGTTTGGTTTGCCGATCACGCGTGTTTTGCGCGGGAAGTATCCTCTTTTCCACTGCGTTTCTAATTAACGACGGACTCGCGGCTGAGTGGTTAGTTTACACACGCGTCAGGTACGGCCATTGCCGCGTATTAAGTGCGCCATTATTAAACGTGTACCGCGGCAGACTTAAAAGGATTATTTCACGCGGTTC